TCAATGCAAAAATCAACATAAAACTTGTTGATGGATTCCCACCTAAATCTGTTTCAACCCATTTCACAAACACCAGCAATACAATTAAACAAAACTCAAAACACATTTTTATTTTATGAAGAAAGAAATTTGAAAGAGATGAGGTGATATACGAGGATGATTCTGTTCACCATCAATGTATTTGTCAAGTGACCAGCCAGCAAGTCCTAGTACAATTAAACAAACTACCAAGTTTATGACCAACAATGGCCCCATAAGGGTTCTGCCGCCTCTTCCCACCGCCATTAATCTGCTGCTCAGTATCATAGTTTCCACCAATTTTGTAATAGATGTTCTTTTTTTGGTCGAGATACGTGGTTGCTTCACGAGGACTCCATTGTCACCCTCTACAGGTGTCACAAAATTTGAATTCCCAACGATTACGCTGGCGGGCTTCCATTTTATGAATTAAAGCCCATTTTACTGTCTCTCTCCAAGCCCATCGTTCCTTTATGAACCCGGGTCTCTCTCAAAGTTTTCGCATATCAGATAAAATTATCGCACTTATTAATTCTTTTTTGCAATTCATGGAATTTCTCCTCTTTTTTTTTTCATTAACTTTAATATTTAAGATAAGCTATTTATGTTTATTAAGAGTAAAGAGTAGTCCTTCCGAAACGCTAAGTCATTTAAAAATAATTTGCAAATATTAATTAAGCTATATATATAAATATAAACTTGTATCCAATAAAAAAGTTCTTTGTTTCCACTTAAATAAATTAAAGAAACAGAAAATGGGTGAAAAACTGCAAATAACATATTTATTCAAAACCTGTATATATTTTTGTAAAGCTTATTTATTCAAAACCTGTTATATATATAACACGCCTATGCATAAAGTATTAGAGTTTTAATCACCCTGTTTCAGCTTATATAGAACTTGTCTCCAGCTCCTGCTATTGCGTTGAGAGGAGGTTCTATTATCAAAAGCAAAGAAGCAAACAGGATAATGAAGACTGAGAAGGAAATAAGGGATTTACAAGGATCTGAATATTGTTTAACTAGTCTCATTCCTTCTTTTTGACCACTTTCTGGAGATGCAATATTTTCCACTTGAGCACTTGGACATACAAGATAACCATATGCTATTCCCATCAATGTGGCTCCAAAATGTGCCCTGCATACGAATCGAATATGAGTTGATCGCAACTCAACTCATATTTTAAATGGGTAAATATGAGTACCCAGTAGAATTTGTTTTTTTTTTGTATAGTAAATTTATACTAACCAGTCATCTATAGGCCCAAAGTTGCTTAGCACAAAGCTGATAGCAGTTGCTATTATCGCCTTATCCATCATGCTTTTAGCAGCTTCTTTTCCTAGCATGTCTTTGTTCTGGACTTGATAGATGAGCCAAGCTCCTATTAGAGCAAAAGCAGGTCCCTGATAATGCGACAGAATTGGTCAAATAACTCTATGTTACTATGATATCTACATGATTCAACTCCAAAATTTAATGGCAATACAACTTACAGTTCCTCCAACAGTTGGCTCCGCGGTGTGAAGAAAACTGATGAGGTTACCAGAAATTCCTCCAAGAACATATATCAGGACAAATGGAAATGAACCATATGCTTTACATACTTGAGGCCCAAAACATAGAAGCACCCAACATCCAAGGGCTATGTGAAGGACTCCTGAGTGCTGCAACATAACAGATCAACAATCAAATGAATTGGATTTGCTTATATCCGTTTACATTGACATTATCAACGTAATTTAACAAGCTATCAAGTATTACTTAATTGGACTGTCAGTATATAGACTTAAACGGCTTACTAATATATACCATACAACAATCTTAATTGTATTTCCATACAATTCCAGGGCAACTAATCATGTAAGGACGAACCAATTTTCAATCTTGTACCAGAAACATCGGTGTTAAAAGCCTCCACCATTCACCAAGTAGGATCAAATGATTTATCTTCGCGCCATATACCATTGGTAGTGACAACATCCCTACTTCCGAGTTCCTGACTGGACTAGCTGTCTCAAAGAGGAATACTGCAATGTTAATAGAAGCCAGTACTCCTCTGCATCAAACACAGGCAAAAAGCATTAGAAATGTTCATTACTGAAGAAGGCAGTTGTAAAATTTCAATGGGAGGTTGATTCTTACATCAAGTAAAAACTAGATGATTCTTCGTTCGAACTCTCAATATCCTTAGCTTTTAACTTCATGTACTGTTCTAGTTTCTTAGCCTTGCCACCTCTGTTGATCATTTTCATGGAAAAATAGGATGCTTCTTCAATTGTATTCTCATCAGAAGATGAAAATGTGTGGAATTTTGGCTCTACACCAGCATTTAAAAGATCACAACAAATAAACTGATAGAAAGTTAATTAGTCCATCAACTAGCAGTTCTTGCATTCTAATCTTCATTACCTTTTCCACGAAAGTAATCCAATGATCGTAGTGCCTTCTCTGCTTTAGGCCGATGATTTTTTCCTGTTAGTTTTTCTATCTCAATCGAAGATGAAGCTCCCGTGCTATCATGAAGCTTTTGGAAGTAAGAATCTAAGGCTCTCAGTTGCTTCTCCTGATTACTCAATGAAGATTTCACTGTCCAAAATAATCTTCTCAGAGAAGTACGCGAAAGCTGGGGTACGAGTGGAAACAATCTGTTATCCTCCCTATATACATGGCTTAATATAGGCACAACCTTTTGCGGAATGCATCCCATGCTATGAACTTTCCCTAATGATACTGTAGTACAGACCATTATGCTTTATTCAGCACTTTACCGACTGCTTTACGCACTTCATGGTCGTTCCTGCTAGTGAACTTGAATATATCTTTGTTAATTGAGGAAACATCAACTTTTAACACATTTTAAACAAGCTGAAATATATACTTCTGCAACAATAATAAGAGTTCTGTCAGGTTTGTTCTGCTATAGTATCACATAGTAATTTGTCCTTCCAGAGGCTATAAAGTTACTATATAACTTTGTTCTCTTCCATATATCTATTGAAGTCTCTTCCAGTATTCGATCACTGAACTAAATCTCTTGCACGTGGAAACATTCTATAATCATTGGCATGCAACTGAGTTTATTCAGTGGCGGATGGAAAAAAATATGTGTTAACAATGAGATTCGAACCTTGGTACAACAAGGTTAAAAGAGTCTTAAATATCCATTCTAGAACCATTGGATCAACTATATGACTTATTCATTGGGTGCTCTATGTTAATTTTATACAAATACCTATCGATTTCTACATAGGTATATATATTTCGTAACGAAGTTAATGGGTGCTCGAGCACCCGGCGAACACCATGTAGGTCCGCCCTAGAGTTCATTACATACATATTGTTGAATATATACTGACAATTTAAAGAATTTTTACACTATCAACGTATTAGAGCAGGGTGTGCGCCTTATTTTGACCTGTTGTTACGACGTACACAACTATATATCACAACGAAACATGGTTAATATAGAACAAACAAAAATAGATCATTAAATCCATCAAAACTACACCACTTACAATAACTTATTCAATATGATCTCATATGTAGTGTTTGTGGAGGATAGAATGTAGACAGAATTTAGCCCTAGACCGTTTTCATAAATAATGAATCATGAATGTGTTTGTTGGAGTGTATAATTAATTAAACAAGACAGTTATATAACGTATATGATCTTAATAGAAGAACGGGAAGAGCTAAATACGTACCAGCGGTCTCAGTTCCATTTAATGCTGAGATTATTTAGTTAGAAGATAAAATTGTCTCTAAATTAAAGATAAGAAGTACAAATTAAAGAATTAGAAAGATCCAAATGAAATTGTACCTTATCTGAATTGTCCCACTAAAACTTTGCCAAGTGTAGTTAAAAACTTCCAATATCCACTAATTGGCCCTTGGATGGGCCCCACTAAATCTAGTAAAAGGGCCACAAAATCAAATAGAATATCTTCAAAGACCAATAAAGGTTTCTTAGGTCAATCGAGGCTGCGAATATAACATTTTGTTTTCTAAAAAAATTTAGTTGCATCAAATATTTACACTAAGCTAATGCAATTATAATTATTATATTATTTAATAAAGCAAAATAAACAATAAATTTAAATACATGGTATACATTAAGCCTATATAATTTTGATAAAGTATGAATGAATATAAACACTTGGGCAAGTTTTACCCCTTTCTTCTCCTTTTCTTTTGGGGTTCTCAATTTCATATATAAGATTTTTTAAAGTTTTTTTTAATAAAATGTTAATATTTATAAATTATGTAGAAGTATTTCAAGATATTTTTAAGATATATAAAAAAATCTCAATTAGTTTTTTTTGGGACTTTTGAAATCCAAGAAATATCACATAGACTTGAATATATGTTTCGATCAATTTGCATTGTATAAGAGAGGTAGATTTAAATATGCTGACCTTAATATCTTTTATCTTTACGGAAATGGGAAATAAAATTATATTTGCTATAAACCCTTTGACTTAAAATAAAAAAAAATAGCTTTTTCAACATAGACATTCTAAAATCAAGGCCTTTTTTCTCTTTCAAAATATACGACTGTTGCAAGCAATAATATCATGTTTCACAATATTACTGAGGAAGCGTACAATTTTGGACATGCTTGGTAAAGTTTCCAACTGTATATATATGTTCTAAAAACAAATTATATCTATATATTGATTTTGAAACTCTTCGATATAAAATTAGAGGCTGACTTAGTTTTTTTTTTTTTGAACTCCCTTAATGGAAATCCAGGATCAGCCTTAAGTAGATTGACAACGTGATATTCAAGTGTACTGTTCATCGGCTCAAAATATTTTGGTTTACATATAAGCGTACTACTGTTCTTGTCTTAAATTGATTGTACGTGAAATATATCATAATGTCATTTTATATTGTGGTTTTAATTAACCTGTCAAGTAAACAATTGAAATTTATAGTTGCTCTAGAAAATCGAAAGAGACATTTTCTTTAAACGAACTAATTTTTTTTAGGATAAACAGATTCAAACAGATGAATAAAGTGTTACAAGGAATATATATATAACATAGCTACAACTAGAACGCAAAAGAATCTTTAGAGAACAGATATATATATTGAGTTCTGATTGCACTTAAATTTCTCTCATATATAGCTAGATTTTGTTGTACTATCTTCTAAGAAAGAAGAGAGAAATATATTAAACAATATAAGATTTAGCATCCATTTATATCATGGCAAAAAAAGATGTTCTTCTTCTTCTTCTTTATTGATTTACTATGTTTTTTCTCTTTCTGCTTTTGTCTCATGCACAATCTTGACAAACATCCTTGCCTGCTGCATTTAGTACTCTTCTGCTCCTGCTTATTATTATTATTATTTCTCTCACCCTCCAGTTCCAGCTGTTCCTCATTTCTTTTTGTGTCTTCTTTCCCTCTTGTTTCTTTCACTTCCACCTATTAAATATATATAAACAATATTTAATGTTATACACGAATTTAAAATTTCTAAAATATGAGTGTACCATTGGCTATTCGTGTAGTATGAGTGTCATCAGATGATTTAATAAAATGTATACATAAAATATCTATTTTTACGAAGAGACTACCATTTCACGTGCTATCCATAAGTTATCAGGTACTTGAAAATAGAATGCATATTTAGTAAAATCCAATTTGAAGATGGAGGTGTTGATATGGAAGTAAAAAGAAACTATTATTGAGATGTAGCAGTTGAGAATATGACAATTCCTAAACAACATATATAGCATTTTTGGCTTCCTAAAGTGACTTTCTTCCCCTACTACCACAATTTGTATAACCATTTCTAGTAAAAATGGAACTACCAAAAAACATAAAAATGTAGGGGTGGGTAGTGAAAGCTAGTACGTGTCAGTCAGTTGCAAGAAGTGACCACAAAATGATATGATTTCTGCATGTGCATGGGGTACTTAATGCTTTTGGGACCAATTGTATTACTATTGCATTTCGTATTATACGTCTTAGTTTAATTTGATATAAAATTTCAAAAAAATATTTTTAAATATATAATTTAAAAATGAATCATAGTGTTTATGTAGCTATAAATTAAAACAAATATATTAAAATTAAATTGTTAAGTATTAAATAAACTAATTTCTGTTTTTTTTAATAGAAAGTCCTTTCACCTACCTAGTAGAATTAGTACTTCATGTATAGCACTTCATGCGACCTAGTCAACCTTTACAATCTAGCACTCATGCTACAATAACTGATATTATCAGTCTACTATAATTAATAGACTTGCATCATGAACGTATAACTTAGTAAAAATTCTGACTCTGCCACTGATGCGTAATCTTTAACATCATAATAACTAGTGGAAAAAGGATTTACCTTTTCCTGAGATTTGAGTTCAGGAGTAGTCATGGGTGAATCATCAGCTACACAACGTTTTGTTGCTCTTTCCTCGATGGATGGAGTACGAGCAGGACTTGGACTCTTTGAACTTAAGTAATTAGCTGGAGTACTACTCTGTGTTCCCACATCTCTTGTAATGCTAACCTTCTCTAAATTCATAAAAATATGTACAAGTCATGACAATGTGAGATGAAAATAATCGCGACTTGAGTTATATATATTGTCAGTATTATAAAAAGAGTTTACGCTATGAGCATGCATATATACCTTTGGTTGGAATTTGGATTTGTAATTCACGTTTTGTAGGAGGTTTTGGACGGAATTGTGAAGGATAGATCAAAGGTGCAGACATGGTGATTTTATTCGTTAATTGTCGAAACGATCTTCCACTTAGTGTTTTTGCTGATAAACATTCTAATGGAACTTCCCCTGATAAAGGATTGCATATATATTTCTCAGCTTCATTCCATTTCGAGTTTAAACACAATCCATCTGGTGACATGTATTCCCAACTATATGTTGTTTTTGCCTGCAATGCTACACTCAAAAAATAAGTCAGTTATATTGAAAATGCAATTTTTATTCGAACCTACTGACTCTACGTTCTGAATTCGCTTGAACTTACCTTTAAGGGCAGTGGTAAAAGAATAAGTTGATGGATCTATTTCATCTGTAAAAAAAAAAAGAATTATGAGAAATTAAAAATAGTAATAAAACAGAAAAATTGGGAGAAGTAGTTTTATTACCTCTTAAGGTGATGTAGCCAGGGGAAGAAGCAGTACTAGAAATGGAAATGTTTGATCTAAAAGATTTTGCATCTTCTCTAAAACTTGTAATATAAGAAGCTGAAAATCTTCTTGAATTTGTGTTTTCTCTGCTAATTTTGGCCTTAAGAGTCCATTCTCTAAGGTTAAAATCGCAATCGTCGCTGCGCCTTGTTGAATTTCCAATAGGGGATTTTGCCATACTAGTTTCTATTTTCATGATTGAAGAAGTTTTGGTCTGGACTTGAAAAGTTGGTTCACTTTTTAAATAGAAGGAAGTTATAAAGGTAGATAGTTAAATTTCAATAGCCTTTTGCCTGCAGAATCAGCAAAAAAAAAAAAGAGCAGCTGCTCATCAAGTAACTTCCAAAAAACTAAAGCCTCAGAGATTTCAAATTTAAATTTTCCTGTATTTGACAGCAACCCACACCCCTTATTTTAAAAACAAAATTTTGATAAATAAAACAAGAAAAAATTATGAGCTAAAAAAAGTGGGCCAGATAAACATTTTTGTGGTTTATTTGCAAATAGAAGTCAAGTGGAATGTCTAATCTAATATTGTGTTTTACATAAAAAAAAATAAAAATGGAAGAGATGTTTGGTGAGTTAGTGCAACAGAGTAGGTAAATTTGGGTATATAGTGATAAAATTGTTCAATTTCCAATTAAGGGGTTGTGAAATTGAACATGCTATGTCATCTCTTCAATTTGGAAACTTTTGTTTCATAATAATGCTATACAACGTGAAATTACACTGAGTATAATATCAGCCAGCCGATTAAAAAAAAAAAGGTTAATGTTAAATTCATGATAATAACTACTTGGGTAAGCTTTGTTTTGTTAATAGAAGCAGCCAACACTGAAAGAGACAGACGGATACCCCGCCTTGCTACATTCAAAAGTTCAAAAAACGAAAGAATTTGATCTTTATTATGCAAAAAAAATAATCATAACAATGAAAATTTGCATTCAAATAAGGACATGTGTTGGTAAGGTAATCCAATGTATGACCATACATATCCTTGCTGATTTTTGAGACTGTTGGGTTATTTTCATTGGGGGGTTTAATTTGATTCCACGGTCCTTTATAAATTTTGTATCACATTTTTTCTCCGCACATATCTTTTTTCTTTTTTGTATAAGTGGTAATAAAAAAGTAAAAATAGTTAAAAATTGAAATATGGAAATGGGATGTCAAGATCATCGTCGTAATAATTATGGGGTATGTAGGTCCATCATCTCGTGGGCATATAGTCACCGTCAGTTTTTGTCTCAACTGTATATGCAATGTAGGTTTCATTATCAGTTTTAGGATAAAAATTCAGTTTTTCTTTCATCCTTTAACAAATATGTGACTTGTCGCACTTTTTTTCATTTGGTAATGAATGTATACATAAATAATTATTAGTGCCAGTCAAAGGAAATGAGTAATTTATTTGACGCTCCATAATCTTGAGAGAGTGGAAATGGGAATCCAACTTTTATATTTTCTGTCCCTAATTTTACCCAAACTTGTTCAGTTGTTTATGCCCAAAAGACAGACAAGGAATTGATGTTTAAAGAATCTTTGCTGGGCTATTCAACCGGACCACAATTCAAACAGTAGCAAACGGATAAAAAAAAATTACTTTTTCTTCATTGTAAAGGGGTAAGTAAACCCCACATGAAGGATAGTTACAGTTTAAGCTTCATTTTCTCTGCAGTGAAATCTACAAAGTTTTTGTTATTCACATACATAACATGTTTCAACTAATGCCCCTCACCTCAACCCCAAAAGCCAAACTTCAACTTTCAAAAACTGTTTGAAAGACGACGAATCAAGCTTAAAAAGTTTTTATTGAAATACTATACGACACCAGTAAATCTGAATTAAGTTGCAAACGAGTAGGACAGCAGTGAAGACGGTGAAAATAAAATCTTATAATTCAACAGCATCTATATCACTCTAGAGAGCCAGATAATCGCAGTAAATAGTTCCACACTGACTTAACATCCTTGAGATAATTCTCGATTACAATCAATAGTGAAAAAGGCTAAAGACTTCTTATTACATAATCTATGTTCTGGTAACGAGGGGTTAATCTCACGGAGTATGACAGCTTAAGTTCGCACAACTATCAGAAAACCATAACCTCATCTCCAACATAAGCATAATCCTACCAAGCTTATTACAGACAGGAAGCTAAATTCCCAAAAACAAGCCAATATTAGACCAATATAATGGCAGAAGCCCTCTTACCACACGTCTTAACATGGATGCTTGGTCTCGTACCCCCTCATCAATGTTGAGAATTCCAGCAGCAACGACCAAGAACACATGCGGCTTCAATGGTTACAATACACTTTGATCTCTGGCGGTTATGGAAGTCATGCAGCAGAGCGGGCATCAATTGCTGAAAGAGTTGACCTCGCCCAACAGCCACTAGTCAGATCCTCCAAATAGCTTCACTGCCAATAAAAACACGATATAAGATATTATGTTTCTTACACAACCTACTTCTGTTGCATTAATTATTTGGTGTGTCAAATAATATTTAAGAAATTAAAATAAGAGACCAAATGACTAAAATTCTAGTCCACAGTTGAAGATCTTATTGAAATCGCACAATTTATTCACCCTTTTCAGAAGTTATCCAAGAAATAATGAAATCTAAACCAGATTACATCCACCATAAAAAAATTAGTAATTCTTTGGCACCGTTCAATCCATCACTCGTACCACCACACACACACATACTTCACAAACAATGCATTTATCAATTTCAAAGTGCACTCAATCGCGCTATACATTCCAACGCAATCAATTTTTTGTCAAAACTTTAAATAGTTATACTAACATTCCGAGGGGAACATAGAGTATGTTACACGGTGCACCCTCTGAAAGATCCAGTTTCTCAATTGGTCTTCAACAAAATTCTTCTGAACACTAAAAACTTAGGCAAACTTTTTACTATATCTCTCTCTGATACTAATAATTTTATCATCTAGTAGAAATAATGAGAAAAAGATCAAGATCCTTACTCCAAGAGCTCAGCCTCCTTCACTTGTTATGAACCACTTGATAGATATTGACAACTGCAGCACAAAGATTGTTCAATACCCACAAAAGAAGTACAATAACCAGGTGCGACAAATGAACATGACCGGGTTCTAAAATTTGAAGAAGGAACGTTTAAAGTATACAAATCGCTCATATACTTACTCCTCCCACAAGAGAACTCAACCAAAACCACCCAATTGCCATTACTTGTCTATCCAAATGTGAAACATGATGACCTGCAATGCAGCAAAAAAAAGGGGGAGGGTGGACGGGGGGAAGAGAAAAGGTTTACTTTCCATACATTCAAAAGACGAAGGGTGTATAAATTTAATGTTTAAAGCACAATAAGCCACTGAAAATCATGAAATTGAGTATTTTGATGCAGAGCGGAAGATAAGCGGGGCCAGGTAGGAACCTGAGATGCACATCGAGAAATTGCTTATGGAGATTTTGTCATGAAGATCAAGCCTTGTGAAGAAGGGTCATCAGTGTCAAGTATGGACAGGAGGGTCATTGGTGCACCAGAGAGTCACAACAGCTTGTGGTGCTATGTTTGGAAAATAATCAGGACGACACTGGCCAAGTTTCGCTACTACTAATAACTACAAGGTTGGGAGTGGAAGGAAAATGTCTTTCTGGAGTGACAAATGGGTTGGTTCACAAACATTAAGAAAAAACATCCTGACCGCTTAGTCCTGACGCCTGATGCAACTATCCATGAAGTCTGGGACAGCAGGAATGCAACTTAAACTTCAGAAGACTACTCCATGACTAGAAAATGAATGGGGTTGCTTTTGTGATTATTAAGGTATAGGAGCAGTTTCAGGGTATAACAGCAAATGAAAAATGCATATGGTCCTCAAAACATATCTGGAGGGTTAAAGCTTAAAAGATCATATAAGGTAGCCAGTTTGTATGTATGGTTGTTAGAGAGGCATGCCTGACACAGAGAAATGTGAAAAGGAGGGGTTAATTTTTATTATTTTTTTAATCTTTTTTTTTTTTTGAAAAGGAGGGGTTAATAGTAATGCTCTAGATGCTTTTTTATGTGAGAAGGAATCTGAGGCCATCAATCATATTGTCATTCGCTATGAAGTCTTCATTCACTGTGAAGTCACTGATGTGGCAATTGTTTCAGTATGAAAGGAATTAAATGAGCTATGCCAAAGTACACTTATAGATCTCCTAGAGTGCTAGAACAACATAGGAGGAACAGCGAAGCAGAAGAGACATTGGAGTTCAATCCAAGCATACAAAGGAAGTCAAGGTGTTTTGACAGAAAACACAGCCTTAGACAGAAAGTAAAGGTGATCATTGAATCCTTATAAGAAAATCAAGGATTTCTTTTGTTTTACTATTGATTTGTAAATATGGCTCCAACGCAACCTTTGTGCCGGAAGGGCTTCCAATAATATACTCTTACTGTTTTCAGACGAAGAAAAAGCATGAAATATTTCTTCCCGCGAGGAAACAAAATAATTTGATATTGATGTGAAAAGATGCTCATCTAAAATATCTTGCTGAAAGAATCAATATAAAAAATTTCTGGCTGACACCCATAAGAAATTTACTTGTCAGAGAATCCGATGTATGTAGAACAAAATGTTAATGAAGGGGAGGACTCACTGACCACAAAAAAGCACTCAGCATCTCTAGGAAATTGCATATGCAAACATGCTTCCTGCAAATAACAGAGGGTGCGATCAAAAGAGGTTTCCTAAATTAAAAAAAATAATTATTATTTTCCAACAATGACTGCAATCAATCCAGCATTGTGACTCAACAATTTATACAGTGGGTTGTGATCAACTAATATTTGAAAAGGTCTCAAGATAAATGACCAGCAGTTTGCATACGTGAACAAATTACCTTGTCTTGGATGACTTCAAACACGTTACTTACTTTAACTTCGAAATTGACACTACACTCCTTTTATAAGCATGCTAACTAACTTGATTAAACTTTGACTCTTCCCGTTAGCAGGATAAGACAAAGGGATGGATGCATGATCCATATAGAATTTTAGTTGTGCATACCTTGTCCAAGAAGCAATATTGTATTCGCAGACAAAGCTGCAATTTCTTGGACCTTTTCACTGGAAAATATTGCTTGCACAACTACATAAATGTAAAAGAAGAAAAAAATTACTTAAATTGCCTAATAACTCCAATGTCACAGATGAAGATCAGAAGTAATATAATAATATAATAATGGGTTCCTAATAACTCCAATGTTACAGATGATGATCAGAAGTGATATAATAATATAATAAAGGGTTAAATTAACAGGAGCGGCTGCGGGTTTCCCTTGTCATCAAAAGAAAAAAAAAGTTATAAATGGGAAAACAAAGGAGCTGATAGTACAAGAATGACAATCGTAAAATAAACAAATGAATGTTCTTCCTTGATACATATTATCATACAAGCAAAAAAATCGTCTGAAGTTTCAACTCAGAGCATATTAAGATTTACATGTGGTCATTTTAAGGGGTGACTGAAACAGAAATATTTCAAGCATTATTCATGATATTAAATGTTTCTCCTAACTTAGAACCATACTATTAATACATGGAAAACATTACCTGAAGTCTGTACAAGCTTCTCTGCAGGATCCTTGCTGTCAGTTTTATTGACAGAAGATGCATCCATGTCAGTCACCGCAATCATGTGTACAGTATGAAGTGCATCTGTTGTCCAAACAGTTTGTGTTCCTGAAAAGGACA